GCGGCCAGCTTCGCGGCCTCCTTGGCGGCCATTTCCTCCTTCGCCTTCGCCTTGGCAAGGGCCATAACGGATCCGCGGTCCATTACAGAGTCTGCATAACAAAAAGAAAACAGTTAGCAAAGAGGAAAAACAAAATGAAGACAAGGACGCCGAGGAGGGTATTAGCATCAGCTTCGGCGGGCACACCTAAATTCGGGCCATCGGCCTCCTCAAAAGTGGTGATCATCCTCGGTCATATCTCGGTGTCACTCTCCTTATCGCCGTACACAAAGTACCTCATGAAGCCAGTGGAGGTCATTTTGTACTCCGTAATGTATTCTTTCACACTCCTCGGCCCCCCTTTTAAGAATGCCGTCACCTGGGCATCCAAGATGCTACTCTTCGACACATCATGGAGGTTAAATCTCCCGTCATGGCCGACGGAGGGAAATTCGGTGCCACCCCCGCCCAAGGACACAAAGACAAACTTACTCTTCCAGCCATGGATGGACGAAGGAAGTTCAGTGAAGGACCTCCTATTTTTTTTTCTGTTGGAGGGTGGCGTAACAAGCACAATTCTTGTGGCTCCATCGGCCGATTTGGTACAAATTCATAAAAAGGGCCGTTGTCGGCCTAAAGTCCAGCTCATCGCAGCGAAGGAGGAAGCCGGCGATGAGTGAATAGCTGTTCCGAGTCAACAAGGCCGGAGGGAGACCCACCATGTCCAAGTACTCCGTGATGAACGGATGAAGGGGAAATCTAAGCCCCTTGGCAAAGCTCATGGGGTATACTCCAAAGTACCCCGGAGGTGGATTCAGCATGTGGTCCGTCAGCTTGGGGGCCCTAACCCTTTCATACGGCCCCACATACATCTGGGCCACAAGGTAATCAGCCGTGCTGCTCTCCGGCTTGATCAAGTAGATGTTCGTGAGGTCCAGGTAAGAGTAACCTCGACCCTTCTTCAGCCGACGCCTTCTCGTCGGGGCGGTCCCCTTAACGGAAGAAACCGGCTTCGGGCAGGGAATTGCAGCAGAGGTAGATGCTCCGTCCATGGCGCGGGAGATCACTACGTCCTCACCTTCAGACGACGAAGCTGCCTCTTCGTCTTCACCCTCACTGTCCTCCGGCTCCCCTTACTTGATGGAGGTCAGGTCCTCTATCTCCTCGCAACACTCCTCAACTACCTGGTAGTCAAAGGACTTCACGGAGGCCTCATCGTCATATGGATAGTACTCATCGTCCAAAGGTTTCATCATAACGACTAGCTAAAGCCTAGAGGGAATTACTTTGGATCTAAGGGTGATTTTCTACTAACACTAGATCAAGGCCCTAGGAAAGCAAAGTATGCAAGAAATTGGAGGAAAGAGTGATGAACTGACCTTTGAACGTTTGAAGTTTTGAAGAACACTCGAACAACCTTTATCTCTCTAGGATTGGGCAGCACTTCGTTATCTCAAGAATGCAATGGTGAGCTTCTTCGGAGGGAGTGGGGTATTTATAGACCTCCCAAAGGTCACTACATGTGGCACTCTTCCGTTGGCCACATGAACGGCCACCACCCCAAGGCCCATTGGGCTGGCACCGGTTCAAAAGGCGGGCCAGGCCCACTTCCATCAGTACTAGCCCATCGCCAACGTGATAATAATCAGCATCCATGACGGTCAACCATTCAACGGACACACTGAAAGAGCACACCTACATCGGCCCTGACAGCCAACAATAATTTCAAAAGGGTAGGTCACACCACAAAGTGTGCCCATATCGGCCCAAACAGAATACCAATAGCATGGCCTCTTCAACGGCCACAACAGCAAAGCAAAAAGCAACCCCACAACCATCGACCTTGTATAAAACCCTGATGATAATTTCTTGAAAACGACCTGCGTCCAAGGGTTCTCCCATAGGGTTACCTTGGTCAGGAAATCGCCAAGGAATTGGATTCAGGGGAATACAAGAATCCCGCTTCGGCCTAGGGTTATTCTTTACTCCTTCAACCCCCGCTCACTCTTCGGCCTGAAGCAGTGGGGGACTGGGGGACTACACCAGCCTCTAAAATACAAGAGGACAAAATCAAAGAAATCCAAAAAATACCAAGTCCAAAATTACAACATCAGATCATATATGCACCACAGCGTCCATGACCTTGTGGTGCACCGTCGGCCGCAGCAAAGTCAGCAAACAGAATTCCCTCCAAAGATGCAACACCTGAGATCACAGGCCACTCAACGGCTTTGGAACCACATACTCCACTCTCGGCCAGGAATTAAAACAGGAACTCAACGTCCTCAGATCACCATCGTCCTCAAAAACATGGACAGCAAGCTACGGATACCACCGCTCCGGCCTAAAGCATAAAGCAATCGCGAGGCCTCCTCGGCCCATCCATCAAAGACCGAAAACGACGGCACCCGCATCGGTTATTCAAATCAAGAGCTCATATCGGCCACTGAGGCAGGACACTCATCGTCCTCAGACAATCTTACCCCATCAAAGGAACATCAGCCCTCTTCGTCCACAGTAAAAGCCACACAACGGCCAGAACGTAGAGTGCCCGTAACGGCCAAAAACAAAGAACCAAAGCAAGGGGTGCCCATAACGGCCAAAACAGGGAAAACCCCATAGCGGTCCCGCAACGGCCAGAAAATGTCAAAACCATGAAATCTACTCTCCCTCACTTCATCTACATCTCAGCTCAGAGAGTGGGGGACTCCTGATGGAGTATATGGGCCTGGACCCCGGGACCCATATACTCAGGAGAATAAGAGACACTGCTGTCACCTAGTGGGGCCTCCGTCGGCCAGATGGCCCCCATCGGCCAGAAAGATATCAACTCAGAATATGATCCGGAAGCCAGGAGAACCGGGTGTCCGCGTCGGCCGTGGCCGCGTCGGCCTCAAAAGGTTCCCAGAACCCAATTTTGTACTTAATCATTTCTACATATTTTGTACTCAGCCCAATAGTGGGCCAATTGTAAATGGGCCTCCCAAGCCCAAGACTTGGGAGCTCAGCCCTAATCTCCTTTATAAATACTCCCCTTGGGAGTAGTTGTAGGGGGTTCACAAATCATTAATATCAGGCATTAAATCACGAATCAACTTGCGAAGAACAGTCATCTATATAAATACTAAGATTGCAAAAAAAAAACTAAGATTGATTTTCATTATTTATTGGTCCGTGCATAGAGTAAAAATCCAGTAATAAGGAAAGATAAGATTATTATATACTCCATAAAATACTCCATCTAATGGAGTATTTGATACTCAATTAAATCTCACAGATAAATCTGTGACAAACACTTTTTCGTACAACATTAATAGGTGACCGCTTGAATATCAATTATTGGGGTTTGTCACGGACTTTGTAATGGATCCATCCGTGACAAAGTGCCCGAAAATAAATAAATTTTGGCCGGAGAGAATTGCCGGTCACCGGAGGCTATTTGTCACGGATATAATCTGTGACAAACATTTGTCACGAATTTTGTCACGGAAATATCCGTGACAAACCTTCTTCGTGACTAATCAGGCATTCCGTGACAAGGTTTGTGACAACTTTATCACGGCCCGGATCCGTGATAAAAATCAGTTTGTGACAACTAATCAGGCTGTTTTTTGTAGCGGAAATGCCTATACATCTACTAGAGACTACATCGGTTTGTCACCCCACAGTTTGTGACAATTGATTGACACATACTAGGCCGAATTCTAGAACAATATTATTCCTATAAAAATTTAAATTTACAATTGTATTACGTAAATGTGCTTCATTCCACATACATTTCTCTTGTGATATTCTTTCTATAGATGTCTTATTTTTCATTTTCTTTTAAAGATGTTTGGTACTATTTCATACTCCCTCCATCCATAAATGTTCTTCTGTAGTACAAATGGCACACAGATTAAGAAAGTGTAAATTGTGTGGTGGAGATTTGTGCAGAGGAAAGAGAAATATGTAATAATGTGTAAGAATTGATGTGAACCACAAATTCTTTGCCAAAAAGAGAAAGTGAAGTTCTTTTTTAGACAGACGAAAAGAGAAAATTGGAAGTTCTTTTAGTGGAGGGAGTACTACGTATGTAAGTATGTTTATATCAATCACAATTGCATGTAATTCCATTTTCTTCGTATGCATGTAAAAAAAAATTAGAATGACAAGTGTAGCAATTTCTATTGATTTTCAATGGGTGGTGGTTCGTTCCTAAAGTACTAATTGTAGCAAACATTTGATTATCAGAGTATCAGCTCGTTGAATTTTGAAGTTTGGTCGATAGAAATACCAAATACTCCCTCCTTCCCGATTTACTTAGGATGTTTTTACTTGGATTGTAATTCGTCCCAGACCAGACCAGACCAATCAGACCAGACCAATCAGACCAGACCAGACCAGACCAGTTCAGACCAGACCAGACCAGATCAGACTTGGGTAGTTATAAAAATACAGAGAAACCAGACCAGACCAGTTCAGACCAGACCAGACCAGATCGGACCAGACCAGACCAACAAATTACAGTCCAAGTAAAAACATCCTTAGCCATCTTTGACTTGTCCAGTCAAATGTAGTAAACTTTGATCAATTATTTAAACTAATATATTTATGCAAAATTTAATAATTTTTTACTTTTATGATAGTATTTTTAACAAAGAACATTTTCATATCATTTTCATATCATTAATACTTTCTTTATACTCTCTCCGTCCCATAATGAACTTCACAGTTTGACCTACACACATATTAAGGAAATAAACTTATCATGAGGTAAATTTTACTATTTTGACAATGTTTCGACACTGTTTGACACTGTGTCGACACTGTTTGGCACTGTTTTGCACTCTTTGACACTGTTTTGATGTAGATTAACTTGTCATTTAAGGAAATGAGAACTTATTTTGGGGACATCCAAAAAAGGAAAGTGGGAAATTCTTTACGGGATGGAGGGAGTATAAATATATAATCGATCAAAGTTAGAGATCATTGATTTGAAAAATCAAGTTTACATAAGTAAAATAGGACATAGGAGTATATTTAAAAACAATTGAATCCTCCCGGCGAGATGGAAGACGTCGAATTTGATGTGATAGCGATCGGGGCAGGAATAATTGGGAGCTGCGCGGCTTATCAAGCTGCCAAACGCGGCCTAAGGGGTATGGACTCTTCTCCTGGAGCAATTTGACTTCCTTTACCACCGCGGCTCCTCCCAGGGCGAGTCCAGAATCAACCGTGCCACTTACCCGAAAGAGTATTTTACGAAAATGGTCTTAGCCGCCGAAACTCTGGCGCGAAGCCGAAGCCGAGATTGGCTACGGTGTCTACTTCCCGACCCCACAGCTCGATATGTGCCCTGCCACCAACAAGAGGCTGCAAGCCGTCGTCTCCAGCTGCCGGAATACATCCCTTCCGGTCCGAGTTTTGGATCCAAAACAGGTCGAGGAACATTTTGATGGCCGTTTTCATTTGCCGGAAGATTGGGTCGGCGTCGTGACTGAGTTCAGCGGCGTTATTAAGGCGACCAAAGTCGTTTCCATGTTCCAATCCCTAGCGTTAAACATGGCGCGACTCTCAGAGACCACGTGGAGGTTAACGGCGTGGAGAGAGACGATCGGACGGGTGGCATCTCCGTCACCGCACAAGGCGGAGATAAGTTCCTGGGCAGGGCCGGCTAGAGCAATTATGAGGCCCTAGACGGTCATGTAGAAATTTTGTTTTAAATATGTTTTATTTAACCCAATGATATAAAAAATAGCAATTAAATATAAGTAAATTACATATAAAATACATCATATACTATTAACACAGTGAGAATATTCTTCGAAATCAGAAGATCAAAGTTGATGAAAAAATACAAAGAACCCTAGAGGGAGAAGGTTTTGTGCTTACATACAACATACCGATCGAAAAAACCAAATCATTTCTTATTTTTTTTCTTTGTCTTTGTACATCTTGATTCATGTTTTGTTTTCCAATCATCACAAAACATAAAATTTCATTCAAAATAATACTATCACTAAATATAAGTTAATGGTTCATAGATATAAATTTAATTCACTAAATTTAATCAAATATAAAAAAGTATAAGTATGTTCAATATTTCGATGAATCAAAATAACAAATTACAATTTCAATTATTCAATAAGCATTCAAATATATTTAGAATACTCATTATCCTAAATCCCTAGCCCTACTGCCCTACCCATCAAAGAAAAAAAAGGAAAAAGGAGCAAATAAGCCCACATATTAACCAAAAAGGTCAAATAAACCCTTGTATAAGAGACTTTGTCCCGCCGTTGCCATTTGGGGCAATTCCCGGTGGAATTTTTTGATGAAATTTTTTGAGAATCTTATTCATTAAGTCTTGTTTACTTATACCAAATTTCAGCTAACAATTCAACATGAAAGGCATTCAAATAAATTCTTGAAGATAACTGCGCTTTTAACTGCGCAGTTATCTTCAAGAATTCATTTGAATGTCTCCCCGATTGAATTTTTAGGTGAAATTTGGTATGAGTAAACTAGACATAAGGAATAAGATTCTAAAAAAAATCATCAAAAAATTACAAATGAAACTATCCCAAATGTTGACGGCCGGACAAAGTCTTCTAAATAATATTAATAAACTTATTTTATAAATTAGAGGCCCCTAAAATTTGGAGGCCCTAGACACTTGTCTAGGGTAACTCCCCCTATGGCCGGTCCTGTTCCTGGGCAAAAGATGTGTAGTCACTGTTGGCCCGTGGGTGAAAAAATTACTACCTCCGTCCCAAATTTATTTGCAAATTTGACTTTTCTTGGTCAAACAGTTTCGTTTTGTTCACTTGATTAGGATGTCAATTTTTAGTTATATTTTAATTTGGAGTTTACAACTTTGAAGAGATTTTAATGTAGTTTATGAATATGTAAATTTTAATTATAAAAAATTGAATTAATTATCAATAGGGAGGATTGACTTTTATTATTGGTTGACCAAAAAATGTTGACTTTGCAAAACAAATCGGGACGGAGGGAGTAGTAAAAACCGTCACAGACGGCCACGTGGTGCTTCCTATTCAGCCGTTGGAGACGAACGTTTCCTGTTGGAGGATAAAATCCGGTCACGAAGAAGAGTTCACCATCGGGTCCGACTTCCCGGTGTTCGCGAGCTACGACATTCCGTACGTGTACGGAACGCCGTCGTTCGAGTACCCTGGGCTGTTGAAGGTTGATTGGCACGGCGGACCGAATGTGAACGGGATCACCGCACCTTTGCACCCCTCGGCCAATGCTCAGACCTCACTGAAACAGTGGATAGAAGGACGATTCGGGGGTAAGGTAGACTCGTCTGCGCCGGTAATCTCGCAGTCGTGTATGTATTCAATGACGCCGGACGAGGACTTCGTAATTGACTTCCTGGGCGGGAAGTTTGGCAAGGATGTGGTGGTGGCCGCCGGGTTCTCCGGCCACGGGTTCAAAATGGGGCCGTTAATAGGCCAAATTCTGGTGGATCTTGCCTGGAACGGATCTTGGGATAGCTCACCTGGCCTGTATCCTTTCAGGATTGATCGGTTTAAGAAAAATGATAAGGATCAAGTTGAATGATTTTGACTTTTTTGACCATCAACTCAAGCCCTAATGTCAGGCAGGGTTTCTATATAGCTTTATTAATAAAGCGTGGGCCTCCATAATTCTGAAGCCCGTGAACTACTTTCAAAAACATTGATGGGTTTTATTTAGGTTGTGAAAAAACATACAAGAAACAAAGTACTCCGTAATAAAGTATAACCAATTTGATAAAATATTGCTGTTTGTATGTTTTTACTTTAAAATACTACCAAGTAAATTGATTTGATTATTACTTAAGCCTTCAAACTAAAGCAAAATTTCACCACCAATACTACTACTTATAGAACATACCATGAATGGAGTGAAAACAATTTATGTGAAAGTATGTGAAAATAGAGATGTAAAAGGGAATTTGCTTTACATATTACTAAGTTCAAGATCAATTTCAATAAAATGACTACTTTTATATAAGACATTGGATGCATGAAGTTGGATATTCACTTATCGTAAGGTTCTTTCACATGTATTGATGTCTACAAATTTATCTTATCCCATGCACTACATACTCTCAATGATGCATTGCACTTATATTATAATTACATCTTATACTAAGACATTTTGCATATATGTACTTACCTATACAATTATGTGTGATTTCAATCTTAACGCACATCCATAAGCTTGTATGTCATCTTAGAGACATTCAAATTACCATAACACGAAAACATTAAAGCACTTGTAATTTAAGTGGGAGTTTAAATTAGAGTTCCTGGCGAAGACTTCTCTCACACGTTCAGCCCTGTTGTGAAAGCAGCTATAGTTCGTGTTATTTTAGCTCTCTCAGTTCAATTTAAGTGGCAGCTTCACCAGTTGGATGTTAATAATGCCTTTCTGAATGGTATTCTTACAAAACCCATTTACATGGCTCAATCCTCGGGCTTTATTGATCCTCGTTATCCTAATCACGTATGCCGTTTGAAGAAGGCTCTTTATGGGCTCCGCCAAGCACCCTTGGCCTGATTTACTCGGTTCAGTACGTTTCCCTTTCGCCTTGGGTTTCAAAGATCTTGGTAAGCTCAATTATTTCTTGGGCCTTGAAGTCTCTTATACTTCTGATGGATTATTATCAGGCAATCTAAATATGCTCGTGACATTTTGGAGCATCTCAACATGTTGGATTCCAAGCCTGTCTCTACTCCTCTGGCGGCCGGTGAATGTTTAGTAAGTACCGGTACCTCCTTTTTGAATCCAACGCTATAGTCGCTCTATCATTGGTGCATTACATTACATGACCATCACTCGTCCCGAACTCTCTTTTGCGGTCAATCTTGTCAGTCAATTTCTACACTCACCGACCGAGGCTCACTTTCATGCTATTAAAAGAATTCTTCACTATGTCAAGGGCACTATTCATTACGGATTGTCTTTTGATCACCGGTCGCAAACGTCCATATTTGCATATTCTGACGTTGATTGGGTACGGTGGGTTGAGACCCGTTGGTCCACTTATGGCTTTTTATCTTCCTTGGTGGTAACATCGTCTCTTGGAGCGCTAAGAAACAGTCTTCTGTTTCTCGATCTAGCTGTGAATCGGAGTATCGAGCCCTCACCAATGCTGCCTCTGAGGTCATATGGTTGGTCAACTTGCTTCTTGAACTCCAGGCATCTCCACGCTCTCCACCAGTTCTTTTGTGTGACAATAAAAGTGTTATCTTTCTCAGCCAAAATCCTATTGCCCATAAAAGAGCGAAGCACATGGACATTGACTATCATTTTGTGTGTGAGTTAGTCTCCTTAATTAGGACGGTTGTCCACACAATTTGTTCCATCTCATCTTCAGCTTGCAGACATCTTCACCAAAACCCTTCGTCGACCCACATTTGAGTTCCTTTCATCCAAGCTCTGCGTTTGCTTACACCCACACAACGCTTGACGGGGGGGGGGGGGGGGGGGGGTTGCTTTGTTTATATATTAGCATAGTTATGTATTGTTATTACTTACCTTAATTATCATGTAATCATGTATTATTTATAGTGTAAAATACATCACCTTTAGCAAGGTGAATAAAATATCTTTTACACACATAGGGACAAATGTCCTACGTTGGTCTTCTTCCGTCCGTTGAAAACCCAACCGTTGTTGCTCCTCCAAATGCTGAAAACTAAACTGTTGGTGCTCTTGGAGTTGGGTAATGCGCCCATCCATAGCCGTGTAATTGATGTTGAGGGTGTTATTTTAATTGATAGTATGCCCCCAATAAGTATTGTCTGTGGATCCGCCATTGAATGTAAATCTTATATTAAGCACTAAGATTTGAAATAAATTAAATTAGCTCAAATTTAAAGTTGTTGGTCATTTTTGAATGTCCACCAAAGGATTCTCATCTCATGTCAATGAAAAGCATTATTATCCTTTTTTTAAATTAAAATCATTATTAATCGTTTTCCTTTGTTTTTTATATCTAAGAATAAATGAATTGGTGTATTTAAATTTAAAATATATAATTACATGTTTCAATTAAAAATATATCATACATATTATCGGTATATGTAATTATATTCTTTAATTTTGTTTTATAACAAAGTTATATTCTCCAAAATTGTTTAAAGATCGTATGAAATTAAAAGGCTAAGATGTTCTTGATTAAAATATTGAATTATATATTCTAAAATCTCTAATTATATACTCTACGACTTAATACATGTAAATTCAGTTAGTTTAATTAGTGGTACTAAGAAAAGAAGGGCAAAATAAGAGTATAAGACTAATGATTTCTATTGATAGAAAAAGAGAATCACGAATGTCAAAAAATGATGAAGTATAAAATCTCTATAGTTAATATTAGATTCACATGTAACCATAGTGTCAATTTTGATCCACATAAACTCTTGGTGACCTGAGATTATCATGTAAGCGAAATGTTCACTTTGATTATTCCCCCCCAAATTTAAGTCATGGCCACTAGTCACTAGCTTTATTAGGTTTGGTTAGTGATGTTCCAAAAGAAAGGTGAAGAGTCCCTAATTTTGATCATTCTCACTATTCACTAATTTTAAGGCATGCTCACTAGTCACTAGATTTATTGTTTCCGTTCTTTTTTAATTGCAACATGATGAATTTTACATTATTCACACGTCTACTTTGACGAAATTTTATTTATCAATGTATTGTAAATTTATTTTTTGAAAAATATTACTACATTAAACTCCTCTCATTTTAAATTTT